TCCGTACTTTCTCGAGTGTTAAATTCCTTTTCAGACCCCTGCCCTCTTCTTCCATAATCGCTTCCTTCCTTACCTGCTCCTGTCACTCCCTTCCTTACCGGCTCACGCTATCCTGACCGCCTGCCCTCTACCTTTCTATATTCCTAACCACCTCACTTGTTTCCTTCCTTACCTTCTGTCTCCACCTGTCTGTCCCTCTTCTTTACTACCTGCCTCCCGCCTTTCCCAGACCCTCTGCCACCTAACCTCACTCTCTGTCTCCTTTTCTGTCCCCCTTTTAGCTCACCCTCCTTACCCTACCTATTTATGTTGCTTTATTCTCTTTGTTCCCTATTCCTTCCTTCTTCTAACACTATATTTCCTCTGCCTGTTTGCCCGTCTCTTCCCCCTCACACCGTTTGCCTTTTGTACACTGTCACTAAACTCACCTTCTCACAGCGTCACCTGAAACGGAAGTCGAAATAAATTTACAGTATTATGACTGTGTTCCTGTTTACCTATTAAAGAATTATCGGAAATTATAGTTCTGGCTGCTCGTAAAAATAACTTATAACAACAATTGCTGACTTACGACTATTATGTAATTATAGAAATGCCTAACTGGCTTATTACGTGTCTTGAAAAAGCTGATTATGGACAAGAAGCAAGGAAACGACAGCCAACTTCACATCGTACATCGATTTGGCTCTTTTGAAAAAACTGTTGACTACCAAACGTTTTTACAAGACTATTAAACACTATCAAACGACTATCAAACTATTGAAAGTAGAAAAAGTTTGCAATATAGTCTAATTCAGTGGACACACCGATCGAGGAATCGATTGTATCGTATCGATTGGGATCCTTGATTCGCATATGGTTTTTCTCATTTTTCTTGCAAACTATGGACTATCAAACGTTTTTATTAATTAGTTCGCAACTATCAAACGGGTTTGCATTGATTGAGCTCCGGAAAAACAAAATCCGGTTAGAAACAAAAAAGTGCCGGCCAACTTCATACTAGATTTTGATTTTCATTTTCTGGAAAGATTAATGACTATCAAACGTTTTTATTAATTAGTTCGCAACTATCAAACGGGTTTGCATTGATTGAGCTCCGGAAAAACAAAATCCGGTTAGAAACAAAAAAGTGCCGGCCAACTTCATACTAGATTTTGATTTTCATTTTCTGGAAAGATTAATGACTATCAAACGTTTTTACAAGACTATCAAACACTATCAAACGATTGGAATAAAAAAAAGTTTAAAAAATAAAAGTTTGCCGGCCATCTTCACGCAGGTGTGACTGTGACAGATTCCCATAAGCGCAAACTGACAGTTGGCATAGCAATAAGGTTTTTGAAATATTTTAATAGTTAGGTTACTGAAATAATTAATTAATATTGTAATGACAAAATGTAATATCAGTTAAGATTTATTTTCACAACAGATTGCAACTAAAATAATGTAAAGTTTAAAATATTCACAATTTTGATATTTCCAAGTAATAATCACAACTGCAATTCTGCAATAACAATGCTGCAATTAATTTAACAATCAATTAATTGGAATGTTTTTATAGCAAAAGAAGTGCAGGAAAAAATCTGTTGTGATAATAAATCTTAACTGACGTTACATTTTGTCATTACAATATTAATTAATTATTTCAGTAACCTAACTATTAAAATATTTCAAAAACCTTATTGCTATGCCAACTGTCAGTTTGCGCTTATGGGAATCTGTCACAGTCACACCTGCGTGAAGATGGCCGGCAAACTTTTATTTTTTAAACTTTTTTTTATTCCAATCGTTTGATAGTGTTTGATAGTCTTGTAAAAACGTTTGATAGTCATTTGCGCTTAGGGCCCAGTCACACTCGTCAAACGCGCGTTCGAACGCGAACGCGTGCGCGGACGCAATCGCAGTTTAATGCGTTCCTAGTCACATTCGTCCGACGCAAAGCCGTTTATACATAAGTCCACTAGAGTGCATGTGTTATGCTACATTGTTTACAGCTAACCTTGAAATTATTAAAGCGTTGAAAATTAAGGAAGGAATATAGAATAATTGAAAGGTACGTAGAAATTAATTGAAGAATTTAATTAAAATTTTATTATGTATATTCGGTTGTAAAAATTTCTGAATGTTCTTTTATGTTCTGTCAATTTCCCATTGCTTCTTATTAGTAAGTCGCATAAGTGGCATGAAATTATAATACAAAAACTGTTAATTTTTTAGATGTATGCTTGGGATTTAGAAGAAAACAATAATATTCTTCTTGCACTAACTTTACTTTTATGGCTGTGAACGAGAAGTCGTAGATGGGGAGTTCGACCAATAAATAGGTTGAGAAAGCAGCAAGGCGAATATTGGAATTTATTTCTTGAAATGAAGGAACATGACAAAGAACAGTTCTTCCGATATACATGTATGGATGCACAGATGTTTGATCAATTGTTATCTATGGTAAAAGTACGACTCAGAAATTGTCATTAATATAATACCTTACTATAAGATCACACATAACATTTGAAATAAAGTCACATGCGCAAAACTGTTTGAATTCTTAACCATAAAAAGTGCGAAGTTTAGATGAGAAACTACTGAGAGAACGCGCGCGCGTAGACGCAAAATTAGAAAATGGGCCAAACGCTACGTTCGAACGCACGTCTGACCGTGCGTTCGATGCCATCTTGACTTGTTGCATTACATTACATGTGTTCCAACCTTTGCGTTCGCGTTCGAACGAGCGTTTGACGAGTGTGACTGGGCCCTTATGGGAATCGGTCACAGTCACATGTCATTTTTTGAAGAGGCCACATTGCCGTATCAGCCATTTGCGGCCACTTCTGTTGGTGCGTTTCTACTGACTAACCCTGTATATGTCCCCCTCAGTCCCCCTAAAGGATAAAAACATACAGAAAAGGAAGGAGGTTTCCCTAGATTGTATTGTGTTGTTTGTTTTATTTTAAGTGAATAATGATTGAAGAATATCTGAAACATGATATCGAGAGCATTTTTCAGTGCAAAGAAAATGAAGATTTTGCTATTTGTCAAAGCCTGAGGACAATTTATGCTGAGACTCGAGCACAACTTGGTACCGTTGTACATGAATGTCTTGCTAACAAAATTGGTATATTAAGTTCTAGTATTTTTTTTTAATTTGTAAAGTAGATTTTGTGTTATAGCATAATTTGATTTTTCATTTAGAGTATGCACGTAAGAGCAAATGTATTGCTAATGAACTACCGCAAATCCATGCTGAAGTAAAATGTCTGATGACAAATTTGGATGATATTTTATTACAAGAAAAAGTTATTAACAAAAAGATATGCAATATTGTGAAACAACAGGAGGATGTGCAGATTGAAATTGAAAGGGAGAGAAAACAGAAAGAGAAACTGTCTCTAGAAATGGTTGACTCGCAGCAAGGTCATTATATTCATCCTTGTATATATTTAAAGATATTTTTTCATATTGGTTTAAGACTAAACTAGGAGAGTAATTACGTAGTTATAACTTTAAACCACTTTAGATAAGTCATGTCTTGTAATGTCATGGTTTTGACCATGAAGTTTAATTCTAAAAACCTTGAGCATGGACATTGATTTTTTTGTTATCGTCTTTGAAGCAAAACTCTAAAAATAATATAAATAGAATAAATGATAATCATACATTGTAATATTAAATCATTGGCCACCTTATATATTATGTAATTATCCAATGAAATTATGATTAGAAGACATGTTCAATTTTATATTTGTTTAATATCATGAAATGTTTGTGTTCACATTTAACCTAAGGTCTTTAATTTTGAATTGTTATTTGTTTAGTAAATAATTAATTCACCTATTGATGTATTATTTACAGAGCTGGAAGAGAAAAAAACAAAAATGCGAGAAAAATGGGATGCGATAAAGAAAGCTTGTGCTGTATTTAAGGAGACCTTACAACTGCACATACGATTAGATACAATAGAAGAAGAGGAGTTCATTAGGATATCATTTTTTGTAAACTTGAACATAGCAATGGACGAGTATACACATTACGTGGATTTAGTGCACAGTAACAATTTCTGGAAAGGTACACCAATATCGTAAATGTTGAAACAATAATGAAATTATATAAATATTTATTTGTTTCAGTGAAAAAAATTGAACCAAATCTGGAACTTGAACATGAGGAAGAACTAATCAAAGTTGTGGATTTTAAGAAACAACTCAACACAGTTCATGTAACCATGCTACTTTGTAAGCTAAGGCAACTCTTTTTCAAATACTACAAGAATAATACGTAAAAATGTTTTTATTTAAGAATAAAATGCTGACAATCGATGATCATTTGATACACACTAGGAATATAGACATAACTAGATAAAATATGATAAATTTTGACCAGTTAGAAGATTAAAGCCTTTATTAATAAAAATTAAAAGATCTAAAAATATTTCGTTACATATACATCTCTATTCATGTAGTCGCCTGGAACGTTCTTATTAAAATATAATATTAGTTTAACAATAATGTCTGTCCACCAACTTTTCCCTAGCAATGCATTTTCCATATACGAATCTTATTTATTTCAGATAAACAATTATTACTGTTGAATCTGGGATTGGAAACTGTAAATCACAGTGTGGATAAATTACTTAGAAGTTACGTACAGGTCTCTGCATTATCTTTATATGGCACCTATCATATGTAATTCTAGTCATTTACCTAAAATACTTAAAAGTTTAATTAGTTATGACTTTGAGTCCTAGCAATATAAACTAACAGTCGGCATTAAACGGCAATCTTCTACACGTTTCGAGTATTCAAACGGGATAAATTCATCTCATATAGTCTTTGGTTAACACTTACTCCGGAGTTGAATGTTTCACAGGTCCCTCAGGTTGAACAATGACAAATAAATGAATTATTGGATCCACCTAATGGTAAAAAGGATTGCCAATAAATTATGTATGCAGAGCGTGCGTCGATAACAATTCTTGTCTATTGACAAGAGTTAATAAGAGGTCAATTGATCGCCCACTGCCAATCAGTATGTAAAACTTCGAGTAGTGTTAACTGATTTTTATTTATTTTATTGACCTGAAGAGGTCGTATCTAGATGACTACGGAGAATTAAATTATTAACCAAAATTTTGTCGAACAGTTTTAATTTCGGCGATTTAGAAATTCTAGCACTATCTAGGACTTTGATAATGCAATATCACCATTAACACATAATGGATTATTCAGTCATATTGCAGTACGTTCTGCCACACAAATCTGAATAACTCTGTTTGAATAATTCAATGCATTTGATCTATATAATCTAACTACTTGAGCACTTTCTATTTTCACGGTGCTTGTAAGAGATTTATGTATGTCACTGCTCATGTAAGCTGTTGTACTTGGATATATATATTGTACATACTAAAAGGGTAATTAGTTCCATCCATGTTAATTGATTAATCGTTCTTGTCCGACATCAGCTTTATATTAATAATAGGGTCTATTTACAATGCTTCTAATATTTTCTAGCAATTAACAAGTATAATTAATAATTATCTATACGTATCGGCCGGGTAAAACAAATGCATTGGTGACAAGTCTCGTATTTTCTGTTGATTCGTACCTACAAAAAGCTCTCACAAAAATATAATTCGCTAAATTGTCAAAAAAATCTACTCATCGGTTGACATTATATTCCGTAATAAAAATTACATCTTATCAAAAAAATTTCTTTCTCTACATACGCAATATTCCAAGCAAGTTGCAAATCGTCATCGACCAGAAGATTCTCTCGTTTACGATACGTTTTCTTAAATAAATAGAATAGAAAGCAAAGAAGTTTCATTAATCCTTAAAAAAAGAAATAGAAGAACCGAAGGGATTCTGTAGCAACTGTTACAATAAAATACAATCAAACGCATAAATAATATATATATTATGCCGCAACTGGCAAGACTTTAATGTTCGTTTGAAAGCTAAACAGGGAATAACGAATACATTATATTTGTTAATGGCATTCATGGTGAAACGGTTAGAAGATGGCCAATATCAATCTAATCAATAGCTTTCAGTCTTGGACTAGCGAATGAGTAAAATGAAGATAGAAAAATATAAGAATAAACAGAAAATATAGACATCTTATTCTAGTACATCTTAATCTGTTTTATGATGTATCCAATTAGTGAAGTGGTTACTCAAGAGTCGCGGCGAAGGATACGTTACCGCCGGCGGCAGAGGCGGCTGCTACTGCTAGAAAGAGTGTTGGTGGTAATGGTGGTAATGGCGACGTCGGGACGCTGGGCGCCAAAACTGTTGTGGGACAGTCGGTAACAACACCATAAACCTTGGCATGGTTCACCTCCAAGGCGACAGTAAGATCGGCGAGACCGGCGTCACAGAGCACCGGGTTATCTGAAGAAGTAATCGTGAAAAAAAACATATTAGTTTTGATAGTAGCTTTATGTAATAATACATGACCGTGGTAATTATATTTTTTGTATATGAAATTCATCATGTGTTTAGATAATATTATAGATGTGATCTTACAGCTGTATGACATTTTTGAGAAACTTATTCTTGCTGATGGCTGCAACTATTGAGTGGTAGCTTCTTATTTTATATGATTTATGCGGATCAAGAACATTAGACACGAGGCATATTTGCAATAGACATATGAAGATAAATCAACCTCTTGAAAATCAAGTGAATGAAATTAATCTTGAGAGCAGGGTAAATAAGAGATACAGCGCTAGTAGAGTTTCCATAGACAATGTAGGATAAACCTGGTAGGATTTCTGTATAACACAACGGACTCTATGTGGGGCACAAGGATAATAAATAACAATGTGAACTTGTAAAATATTGAAACGATGGCGCCCTTGGCGAGGGTTATCGCACGAATTGTCATGACTCTAACAAATAATGGCGTCTCGGTGCAAAAAGGGAAAGAGAAATATAAACACTCTCTAAAGGAGAAAGCACAATCGTTTAGCATATGCAGAGCATGTTTTCGTCGGATTCTCACCCACGAGTTTACACTTATCGACGGTTAACAATGGCTACGTTCCCATCACAGTCGAATAAGAGTTCAAATACATTTAATATATATCTCTATAGTTTACTAATACGTAGCTATACAACATACGTATTTCATCTCTCAATCCGATTCCGACGGAATCATCTAATGTCATGCATCATCAGCTGCCATTTTAATTGACAATTGTTACACAACACGTTTGTACGATACGTGCGCGTATAATATAATTGGTGAAGGAGAGATTGATATATTTATATTTTTAACAATCTTAAAAGCTTGCTATGATTCTTTGACTATTCCCACTTGTCGATTCAACAAATTTCTAATATCGATTCCTACCTTGCAGGTAAATGCGTAGAACGTCAGGAACGCCATGCACGGTGCAACGGGTGTTCGCGACTAATTCCGGGGTTAGCGAGCGTATTCGGTTGGTACTAACATCCGCCCAACAGAGACCTGGAAATCCTCGGAAATCCCTCTCGGATAAAGTCACCAGACGATTGTGAGAAGCATTTAATTCTTCGAGAGATGGTAGCCATGTCTATTATTTGAATTCAAGAGAGAGGAAGTATAAAATGAGTTTACTTTGTTATCATATAACTGTTATTCCATATATCGGATGAATTCTTACCTCAGACATCTCTTCTAAGGAAGTAAGCTCGTTATGAGATAAGTCCAGGACTCGCAGAGTGTCGAGTCCTCGAAGATCTTGTGGCCCTATCGTGGGTCCTAATGCATTGTGACTCAAATTCAATCGCTGAAGTCCCTTCATACCCACGAAAAGTGAACCTTCAAGAGAACGGAGCTCATTGTGCTGTAGTCTCATGTCTTGGATATTTGCACCAGCTACATCCTCACCTTCCTCTTCCACGAGATTCTGCGAATCAACATATGAGAGATTAATTAACTTGAGCGAATATTTATATTTCCAATTATTGGATACAAGTAAATATCACGGTTGATTATCCAGCGTGAGATTTCATACTTTATTTTATTTGACCTAGCAGAAGACGAGTTAACAGTTATAATTAAATTATAGTAATAGTTAACCTATCACTATACATGCAGCTTATCATTACTCTCATTAGCCCCTTGAGTGTTGCGTTAAAATACAAGAATCTGATTACGATGTTTTAAATTTTGAAAATCTGATGTCAGATTCTGATTCAACGATTTTAGAATACTTAAATATCTTTTTTCTTTGCGATGCGCATACATCAATTCCGATAATCCAGGCGAATTTTTGGTTTGTCGATGTAAACGTCAGTGACACTTAAAGAGTTAATAATTAATAAATATGACAATTTTAAAACTCCCATGCTGATACGGATAAATGAAATTCAATTGAACTTCTAGAAAACAAGATTACTTCGGTTGGCGGTCTTCCTTTACTGAGTTGTGCAATCTTGTTGTTAGACAGATCGAGTAGACGAAGTTCACGCAATCCACGAAGCGACCCGAATGAAAATTCGCGTAGCTCATTGTGAGTCAAGTTCAGGCACTTCAGTGACCTTAGAGGATATAGAGCGCTGTTACCCTCACTACCATCAGAATTTGGTCCAGATCCACCCAGAGACTTCAAAGAGTTGTGTCCTAGTTCAAGATCCTCCAGCATTTCAGCCTCGATAAAGTCATCTTCCGTTAACTAAAGCCATAATATGTAAAACAATGGTCATTAGAAAAATGGTTTCTCTTGAAAACATATTAATAACAAATTTATAGTTACTAAAAACTTTGATACTCACTTCCTGTAGATCATTATAGGACAGCTCGAGAAACTTCAGTCTACGAGCCTTCTGAAGTGTTCCGTCCAGACTCCTGATCCTATTGTGTTGAAGAAACAGATTTTCCAAACGATGCAAATAGCGAAATTCAATAGGCAAGTGGGTGAGTTTATTGTCCACGGCGTAGAGCATCTTCAGGTTATGTCCCGATGATGGAAGCTCACCATCCAATGACGTCAACTCATTGGAATTGATGAGCAGCCATTCCAGCTGGTTCAAATCTCTATAAGATATTCAAAGTTGCTTTATAAGGAAATTAAATGGCAAGAGTACGATCAGGTAAAGAAAAGTTCGAAAAGATAGCATGAAAAACATAGACGTCTAATTTATGAACAACGTCGAATAAATATCAACCGTTAACTAATAGTCAATCATATTAACGGCTGATTGCATTAACGTTAAATGGCACCAATTACGTTTGAGAAAACAAGAGTAAGCAGGATGTCCGGTATCTTGAGATATCATCTACGATATATACATACCGTAGCGTACGGTTCAGACTCTTCAGGTAGTTACGGCCGACGTGCAAATGCTTCACGAGTGGTGGTAGAGAGCCAGGGATCATTTCAGAAATAGAGTTTCCCGCCATAAATACATATTGAAGAGTGGGATTGTACTGAGAACATAATACAATGATATATGGTTATGCTCAAAGACATATAACGGGTTAACTTTAGTTTCACTATTAAAATAGAATCTAGTCTACATCTGAATGTTATCAAAACACAGATGCATAGAAATATTTATAATCTCAATTCTATTCATTACAAGTATTCATCTTCTTTACGTGTCGTCAAAATCCTTTTTATTCTACAAGATATTCGACATTTTCTTGCACGCTTATAGTTTTTATACTTAATAAGAAGAAATTAATAACACACTACATTATATAAATAGTTAAAAGATCTCGTGATCGAATATTCTCCTAAGCCATGTCGATCTTCAAGTATTTGGAGCCTCTATAATGACTATGCCAATCCTAGTAAGAATATTAAAACATATAAACTGGGAACTAAAGATCGCATAGAAACGCATAGATTTTGTAGGTTTTTATATAGTTTTTAGTGCTGAATCTATAAGCTTTAATATTTTTACATTAGATGTTGAAGTACGATTGTCATGCGCAGAATCAGTAATAAATATAACTGTGCATCGTACATCATTTGTATGAGTTACTGGTTCATAGAGAATTATTGCGAATGGTTACCGATTCGCAGTGCCATCGGGAATATTAAACTTTCCCAGAGAGAATTGGTTATTTGTCCCCAGTTATCATACCTAAAGATAAGTCGGTGACGTGGATATTGACTCTATTATCAATGACGCACCGATGTTTACGACGGTCTGCAGTATTTTAATGGTATCGGCTGACCGATCATATTTTCACTCTCATTCTAAGCCATGACTGCAACTCTGTACTATTCAAATGATTCTAATCATCTCTTATCAGAATTTCCGACGCCAACATCAATAAACATATAAATAATTTAATCTTATCTGGCTACCCCTGTCCTACCTTAAAGTCGTCAGAGTCAATGCGACTAATTCGATTTCTGCTGAGGTCAAGAGTTCTGAGTAGTGACAGGTGCGACAAAACATGTCTTGGTATTGATGGAACCTCATTGTCAGCCAAACTTAGATATTGGGTCCGACCTAGGCCAGCAAACACGTCTCCGTCAACAGAGCTGAAACGGTGGATCGAATCTATATGTCATTGTTATTATTTTCAAAAAGGAATATCAGTACAGTTATCATTGAGTTAATGTATTTTATATTGATGATTCCGTGCCGCATAATGGTGCAGGTATGATATATTTTTACTTTACAGAATATAATTGATATGCAATTAGCATGTAAGCTAATTTGGTACTTTTCATATATTCTTATGTCGATGCTTATGTATAATTATATTTCATATTTTTTTAGATAAAAATATCAATAATTGATTGTATATTGATTGAATGACTAATTAAGAGAGTTTCAGAGATCAGGAGTTGTTGACGTGCATGAAAATGGATGTTACGTAATTTTCTTATGGAAGCAACAAAGAGTCAAAGTACTTATGAAACGAGTCATTAAATTGTAGATACCCTCTGGTAAATGAATCTGTGAAATTCTTATGAAGCGATAAAATTATCTTCACATTAGACTAATTTTTTATATGGAGTTTGTTGCCCTCGCGGAGGTCATTTTTCTAGAGAGTAAAAAAACAAGACAAATTTCAGTGAGTTTCTTTTGTTGTGTCTTCTGGAACTATTATGCGTATATTGAAAAGATAAGATCGTCTGGTATGTTTAGCATTTTATTCCTGAAATGTCAATTGACAATTCGATTAATTAAAACCATATAAGCAATAATTGTGGATTTGACTTATACGTGTAATATGTAGAATTTTCATTCAAAGAAACGCGCTAGAGTCGCTATCGTTTTATTCACTTAATGATGAGTTGTTGTCGTTTATTATTTAATTACTCTCGTTGATAAATGTAGGGCATCGTGATGTACTGTTCCTTCGAAAAGGTCACCGAGATTAAGATTTAATTATGCAAACGTATGTACGATGCAGTACTCAATCACAAGGACTTTTGTGATTTTAGGATTTATTGAACATACTGGAATGTTCATTTAATTATTTTATTATTACAAAGCAAACTTATCACATGAACAAGATGTTTGTGACATAGACTTTTCGAATTTATCCAATAAATCTAATTACCTTGTAAAAAAACTTGTCGCAAATTTTTGTTTAACAGGGTACCTATACACTGATGGTTTTTAGATGAAAAATTTATTATATATTATAATTATCGCCAGAATAAAATACTGGAATGTCAAAAATCATTTAGAAATTCAAAAACTAAATTTGTTTTTTATGAATTTAAAATTAATAAAAGTTATTAGAATTTATTTAAAAATTTTCTTTCAAGCTAGCAGAGCAATTATTTTCATCGTTCCTAAACAAAAGTCAAAATTTCAATCGCATCATTCCAAATTTTCTAGCAACAAGTTTAGACGAATTTTATGTTTGAACTATAAAATTCCTACAATAACTAATAACTAACAACGAGAACAACAAGAACGGTACTCACTCAAGGTGATCATGATTAAGCTCAAGCCTGACAATCGACATTCTGAGCTCTTTAAAGTCATGTCTGGATATGTCACGTAGGAACGAGTGCGCCACTCTGAGGGTGATTTGCTGGTCCGCGGTGAATTTACCCCGTAGAGCATCGGCTACCTGATTGAAGGATTCCATTTTCTCGCAGACGACTTCGATACGTTCAGCATTGCTGTTTCCATTGCTATTCCCATTGTTGGTAATAATGGGAGTGGAGAATTCCTCCTGGCGACAGGTGCACGGGCTGATCTCGCGGCGCACAGCGCAATGTAAACTCGAGCTGGCCGCCAAACCCAGCAACGTGTAAAGAAGTCCCGACATTGCTCTTATCCTCGTAGCGACTCTAATCACCATCCAAATAGCCAATACCCATCCGGCGCGATCCACCACGGACCATGCGCACCTCCCGCGGTAACCCGCGGCAACCCGCGACTTTCTCTCCCTCGTCCCGTAATCAATCACTGCTCCACGGGAACCAGAAACGGTGGACGGATTTACTTGATTCAAGGTAGCCAGGGTGAGGGTTCAGGCGCGTGATAGGTCAAAGCCGAATCGAGCGCCGAAACGCTTATTAATTTCGTCGATTAGTAGAATAAAGTTATACCGGTGACCGTTCACTTTGCAGTTGTTGAATATTATTTTTATAATATTTATCGATATTGTTGTAAGTTTTTATCACTTCCATAGACTTCACTAACTTCACTCTTTCTCACTGACATACCAGTTGAACGTTATTCAAGTGACACTGCGCCCTGGTTACCCGCCACCCACCCTGACTGAGTTCGAGCTCGACTGTCCGACTACTTTGCTTCTTTCACTTCTCCTTCTCTCGTGATCTTCTTCTTCTTTAGTATCCTCTTGATACTCAATATCTTCTTTTTGATTAATAATCTTCAAATTTTATTTCTTTCAAATATTCAAACTGGTTTTCTTGTTACCTTCGTATTAATGACTCCTAATTTTTGATGTTGTGTTATACTGATATTCAAAATGGTAACTGTTACACCAGTCTGGCCAAATCCGGACCAAGTACATGGACTCACGTGACTCCTCTTTATTTTTTCATTTCGTTCTCTTCTTCGCGATTTTGCTTTTCCTTTCACTTTAACTTTATGAATCTTTATTCAAGAAAATATTCCAAAACATTTCCTCTCAATTTATGACTTTCGATGACCCTTCTACTCTCCTGCTATATGTTAACACGACGCTCGCGAGGACAACATTGCTCGGAGATACGGCCTGTGGGACTTACTTATACAGTGAGAAGCAGCGCCACCCCAGGACCCCTCTAAGTTATTACTAATTACAGATAACTAAGTTACTACGCGCGTACACGTAGCATACTGTCCTCCTTAGCTGATATTCGTGCTCTTCGTTCTCCCCCCTCCCCCCCTCTCTCTCTCTTTCTCTTTCTCTTTGTTATCATCGACTCTCCTCCGTTTTCTACTCTCTATATACATATGTTTGGTCGCCCCTCTCCTTGTCTCTCTATTTCATTCCCCTTTTGTAATAGAACTAACACTCTTATCATTCTCCTCTTTCTATACGTTGAGAGGCTTTTTAGATATTATTACATATCACATGAATTGTTGAACTATCACCTTCTAAACTATTCTGGAACTATTTCATATATGGAAAAATAATATTATATATGAAATATAATAATTTAGATGAAAACTGTAACGTTATATTATTTTGTTATTCTGATAACTTAGATTAACGTTGTTCTACGACAATAGCAGATCGAAAGGATTCTATTGTATTCGGAAGCTTTAAGAACAGCATTTGGATATGAGATCAATTTTGAATAAAAGTTATCATAAATGTCAAACATTAAATAATGACCATCGGCGACCCATCAGTTATCAACAATGGGGGAAAGACTTTCAATAATATTTTTTTGTTTTGAAAAATCTATGTATTGAATATCCATGACATAAGGTTCCTACCGAAGAAAAATATGGGACTTATTATCAGTTTTATACACTACAAATTCATTATAGGTATCGGTACCTGGACAATATTTAAAATGCCTATTTTTTAAATCTAATTTCTATCCTCAATATGTTTTCTCTTAATTTGAAAACAATGTTAACCATTGGACCACCATAACAAGCTAAAGTAATACCGGTACATATTGGAGTGCAGTTCGATGTGCCTTTGTAATTCTTGTTACACATGTTAAGTATGTTTGTACCGATAACAAGAGCATTGCTCAACTTTTGACCTTTGCTTAGCCACTGGAGACCCATCAGAGAAAACACTAGATAACTAATTTAATGTGTTGCCATTAGATAGCATCGTGGCTTTTTAAAATGCATTTTGGCATATCATTATATACACTCTCCTCAAATACAAATGTCGTCTAAAGAGGATCTAAAGCGTCTTATGTTATACTAATATCCTATAATATTTCAAGCAAAGGCTAACATATATAGGAACGTACACTTATATTATACATAGGAACGTATACTTATATTCTAGAACTAATGATCCTTTAGGTCTCTCGTTAGACACTCGTGTTTGATTTATTTGAGTATATGGCAAGAGTAAGTAAGAATATAAAAGAGGGAAAAATAAAAAAAAACGACGGAAAACCAAATCTTGAAAGTATTTTAAGTTCTTGATCATCGTAGAGCAGCCAATTTAATTGCGAGCGACATTATGTTCGGTCAATTTTGTATAAATATTTGTTAATTCAGTTCAGTATCTATTATTAGTTTGAGCCCACAGAAGAAACTAAAGGTTCGCTGATTATCGTTCAAAGGGTGGTATTCCTAATTTTTAAAATTTCCACAGGTTTAACCCACCATAAAATGTATTTGAAATAATTCAAGACTCTCATTTATATGATCGTGTAAAGATGCATCATTCGCTACAATTTTAATAGGAAATAATTACCTTTCTTTAACTATCTGTACGATTTACTCGCGCATACCACCGACGTACTTCTCATGGTCACAACGAAGCTACACACCCGGGTCCATTGACATGAGGAATTCCTTAGGCAAGAATGTTAAGACCCTGAGGAATGTAATCGCAGTACCCATTCTACAATCTTCAGAATCGTTTCTATATACTCTATTGTATTATAATAACAGCCGAGCTATTGTAGATATGTATATCAAAATCTTGAGAAGCGATCGCATCTATGAAAAGGTAAGCAAGTGAGACAGCTTCCTGCCAATATTTGTAAATGTGAGCATCTTTTGGACCACCTATCTTGCGTCATTTGTTCTATCATTATACAGTACTACTCTCAAATAACTACGAGCACATCGCTCGATCCTAAGACGAGAGGATTGATCGGCAGAAAGACACGAAGACACCAGTAAATTGGGGATACGTGACTGCTCTGAATATGAAAAGGGGAAGATCAGGAGAGCACATGGGGGCACAAGAGAGTGCTGTGTCGGTTAAAGAATGCGAGAATGCGGCCTGGCGCCAACGCATACATGTCTGAAATGTGTATACGCGAAGATGGAAGTTATTTCACATATGCAGAAGGATGGAACGTGGTCAGTTTGATATTCTCTCTCTTTCATCCTTCTTATCTCTTTCATTTTTGTCTCTCTCTCTCTCTCTCTCTCTATCTCTCTCTCTCTCTCTCTCTCTCTCTCTCTCTCACTCACTCTCTCTCTCTCTGAGTAAGTAACTGAGTACATACCTGTCACCCACTCTCTATTCCTTGAACAATTACGGATGTCTGCTGCCCATTGCGGGCGTTCTGTTGCAGTTTCTGGCTTTCTCAGTGGTTCTTGCAACGTTTGAGCAATACACGCAGTAGCTCCATTAGTTGAACTACAGAGTTGAAGGTTTTCTACACTGAGACATTTCTTTCTAACCTCTACTCACGTCACATGGACTTGGTGGTAAATGAATTCTTCCCGTAATTCTGATTGGATAATTCCTACATCTCCTAGAGGACTGTCCTAGTCTAAATTTGTTCTGATCAACTGCTGGACAATTGGTTAATCTCTGTTTTATCATCAGTGCTACATCTAACCGATTTCAAGACCAACCGAGACACCAAGGCTCATCCTCACTACTGTTTTGATGCGGACTTGCCTATCATCTACTGCCCCACATCTAACCAGGCATTCTACTTGGTTTTTGTTTGTTTACCGGCGCCGAATAGACAGCTGTTAATACCCTAACTGCTGTCACAATACCTGTAAATTGCGGTTTGTGCTACAAATTCATAGCGACTCATGACCTACGCAATTTTTGTAGTGTTGAGGCACATGACTCTCACTCAGCATATAAAAAAATATTTAGATTCTGTATCCGCGAGTGATCTTGAAACTATTGAGTGCCTTACCGGTGTAAACAGCCAAAAGTGGCTCTCAGTCACTAGCCAAGACTGCGATACCTGAATCCTGTTTCCTCTAGTATAAGTGATCAGCTCCATTCGCTTAGCTTACTTGTTACTACGGTAAACGCCAAGATTAACAATATGGACCTTGCCCTACGCGATATAGCTCTTTTAAAAATCGAAATAGCCGGCTTAAATGACTTAGAAACCGATGTTCGTAGTTGTATAAGCAAACTAACTCCTTTGTCTGATAAGGTTACCTTCGTCGAGTCATCTATGACTAGCCTGACTTCTGCTCAGCATAACTTATCTGAACGTATTTCTGTTGTTGAAACGCGGACTGCAAATGAGTATTGTGAACTAGCTAAAAAAATTACTTGTATTTAGCAACATCAAACTGGGCAATCTACCATCTCTCCTTCTACTGTTACAATTGTGCAGCTCCTGGCTGCTCAGGTTCGAAATCTCGAATACGAAAAACATAGCATGGACATCCCGATTTCTGGGCTCCCAGTATTACAGGGAGTAAATGATCGCGACACATTGTCATCAATACTTTCTGGATTTAGTATTTCAGATGGCGAGCTTCATATTCGTGAATTTTCGCGTATATAAAATATCTCCTTGACCGATAAAACCCGTATGCTGTATGTACGTCTCTCTTCTGCTGAAATCCCTAGTAAAATCTTGCGTACTAAGCGTGCAAAAGGCATTTTCAAAGCGTCCAACGTAAACTCCGCATTTCCTGACACAAATGGCTACATAAATGAATTCCTACCACACGAACTATACAACTTACTACGTGAAACACGAAATGCAACCAGGACTCGCGTTTATCGGTATGTCTGGGTCAAGAACGGAATACTTAAGGTTAGGAAAGATAGTGAGTCACCTATCCTGGATATTAACACAGTTGAAGATATTGTGACCCTTTTATGTGATACGACAACTCCACCAACCGTGTCTGCTGTAACAGTTGAAGTTAATAACTCTTTAGGCATATGCCATGTAAATTCTAAATCTCTTACCACACACTATGATCAATTCCTAGATTACTTTGCTACGACCTCACATGATATTATATTAGTGTCTGAATCATGGCTTAAACTCCATATTGATGGCTCTGTAGTTGATTTACCTGGCTAGAACGTCTTGCGATATGACAGGATAGGAAGATCTGGTGGTCGGGTTTGTATTTATTACCTAAATATTCTTCCTACAAAAACTGTTACCTCGTCTGCTGATGATAGCTATACCACACGACTAGTATTCTTATTTATTGAAATCTCTGGTATCGGAAACTCTGGACTGTTGGTTGGAGTCTTTTATTGGCCACCTAAAATCGTCTTCGCTAACACTCTAGAATCTCTCATTTCCACCATCGGACAGGATTATACCTGCAAAGTAATTATGGGTGACTGAAATGCAAACCTTTGTACTGAAAGTTATGATATTGCTTATATTCGACGGCTGTTTGAATGTTACAATTTTGATCTCGTTCCTTATCATGCCACGCATCATGCTGGCTCGTCATCTACCTGGCTGGATCTATGTATTGCAAACTCAATACACAGAATTTCTGATAAAGGCCAGCTGCCGCATCCTTTTCTTTCTGCTCATGATTTGATATATGTTGAATACATAACAGCCCGTAAAAAGTTACACCGGCCATTATTAAACAACGTGACTGACGGCGGTTGGATGATCCCAAATTTATTGAGCAGCTTGATGAGACTGATTGGATCCCCCTAATCAATAGAACTAATATCCATAATAAAATTAACTTTCTTAATGACAAATTAACTAATATTCTAGATACTTATGCGCCTTGGCGCGATATTTGCATCAAGCGACTTCCTGCGCCCTGGATAACCGATAGCCTTAGAAAACAAATACGCTCACGAAATAGTCTGCGTGCTACAGCTAGGCGTCTCCGAACTGAAGAGGCTCGTTGAAAATACAGGTCCGTTTGAAATCAGGTCAAAAACTTGATAAAG